TAGCTCAGCCACCTAAAGATCGCTGATGACGTGGTGTTATTTCGGGATAACGCGTCAGCTACAACATACGCTGCAAAAACTCGCCAGAAACACTGCGTAAGTCGCACTGCGAATTAGACGGTCAATGACAAAGATAAAGTGATCGAATGTCTTGCAGAACGCCCAAGTAATATTAAACGGTGAAAAAATCGAAGAAGTCGATAAGTACACATACCTGGGTAGCTGGGTGACGAGGTCAACATGCAGTCTTCTCAAACCGGAGAAATTCAAGGAAAGAAAAGGGCAAGTTGGCGTGCGTTTGATTCCATCAAGAACTCCCTCCGCGACATCAGGAAAGAAACCTCCACCCACCTCTTCAATTCTGCCGATTTGTCGGCAATGCTGTATAGCAGTGAAACGTGGCCATTCAGTAAAGTCGAAGAGCGCCAACTATCTCGCATCGAGATAGCCATATAAATAAACATACCTGGAGTCTCACATCGCGACCACAACGCCAAGGAGTGGAGCGCACGGGAGTGAAGGATGTCGTGGAAAGACAGATAGCTCGGCTCACCGACGGGAAATGATCGCCGACTAGTCCTATTGCCAGAGGAACAGGTCGCTCGCTCGCTCACCACGACAGAGTGAAAATTACATCATCAGTCACGAAGACCGGCGTAGAGAAGGAAAAGGCTCGAAACCGAGAGGAATGGTGGGCATGTTGCGGCCGACACGGATCTTCGCCGATTATTGGCCGGTACAAGTGACGATTGATCTGGAAAATCCGATGCGTCCAGATTTCAGAAGCCTTTTACGCAGCTCGCACAAAAAAACATCAGCAACGCAGCGAATCAACAGTTGTCTGCCACATCACCATCAAATAGGGAGTGTTGATGGTTTAGCGATGAACCATTATAAATCGAAACGCATTTCAATGACTCACGCTAAAGCATCGGTATATATGTCAGAAACGTTTTATTGGGCAAGTTAATCAGTGAAAGCAGCACGGGTGTTCTTGCGGGTCATCTCCCCCGTTCTTCGAAACAACGTTCCTTCAAATAAAACTTTTTTCAAACAACCGTTTGAAATAAACTTTCTTGAATAAAACCAGTACCTGTGATCGAGAATGCCAAGTTTCAGGCCTCGATAAGATCTTTCTTAGATTCTATATCGCTTGTCTGCCCGATTCCATCATCGGGACATAGTCCTGTCCAATCTCGTAGACACTGTCACTCAACGAAATTGACAACGATCAAACAATGGTGTCGGGGTAAAAAACATCGGTGGTGCCACTAGCGGGTAT